GACTCAAGGAAAAAGGGGCTGGACTATGGAGTTAGAGTGTGTGACAGTCCTGTGTTTTGAGGCCTCTGAGGATGGTGTTTGTAATTCCTGCTCATCAAGGGTGCCTGGTGAGTGGGATAGTTCTCAAAATGAGATTCTTCCCCATGGGAACCTGAAGTACAGTTGGTACAAGGATACTACAGAAAAGTTCTCAGAAACACTGTCAGACATTCCAGAATGACTGAATCACAAATTAGTTGGAGCTGGAAACAGTCTCTCTCCATGTTTATTGTAAGCCCCCTTGTTCGAAAACCAGAGTACGGTTTCCTGTAGAATTTTCGACTACAAAGCTGGTGAAGGGCCTGGACCCATAAGTGCCTTGAGGAGCAGCTGAGGGAAGTGGGGTTGTTTAGTCTGGAGAAGAGGAGGCTCAGGGGAGACCCTTACTGCTCTCAACCACTACCTGAAAGTAAGGTGTGGGGAGTTGGGGGTCAGTCTCTTCTTGCAGATAGCCTGCAATAGGATGAGAGGGAATGGCCTCAAGTTGCTCCAGGAGAGGTTCAAGACAGAAATTAGGAGAAATTTCTTCTCAGACAGAGTGGTTAGGCATTGGAACTGATTGCCCAGGGAGGTGGTAGAGTCACTGTCCCGGAGGGAGGGGGACAGGGGTCACTATCCCAGAGGGAGGGGAGGTGTTAGAAAATGTTGGATGAGCTACTTAGGGACATGGCTTAGTGGGTAATATTGGTGGTAGGGAGGCAGTTGGACCAGATGATCTTGGAGGTCTTTTCCAACTTTGCCGATTCTGTGATCCTATGACTCTCTACTCTAGGTCAGACAAGCCCAACTCTCTCAGCCTCTTTTTATGGGAGCATTTTTCCAGCCCTCTGATCATTTCTGTGGATGTCCTCTGGACCCAGTTGACGTCCTAGGTCCTAAGACTAATGAGTGTGTTGTGCCCGGGCCACACAGATGGATGCAGTACTCCAGGTGGGGTCTCTTGAGAGTAGAGTAGAGGGAGAGATTCACGTCCCTCAACCTGCTGGTTACCGCTGCTTTTGATGCAGCCCAGGATATGGTTGGTTTTCCAGGCTGTAAGTGCATGTTGCTGGCTCATGTCAAGCTTTTCATCTACTAGTACTCCCAAGCCCTTCTCCATAGCGCTGCTCTCAATCCACTCACCACCTACTCAGCACTAATGTTTGGGATTGCCCTGAGCCAGGTGCAGGACCTTGCACTTAGCCTTGTTGAACTTTACAAGGCTTGCACGGGCCTATCTCTCAAGCCTGTCACGATCCCTCCAGATAATATCCTTTTCCTCCTGCATGTCAACTGCACTGCCCAGTGCTAGGAATGGTGGTTGTGAGGGGCTGCTCTGGGACCACCGCCCTTGGGGCAGATCTGCCAGGATGTCCAGAGAACAAGGGCAGAGAAACATCATAAAAAACAACAGATATTTATAGATGTATATATATATACACATATATGTGCCTATCACCCATATTAATGTACGGCATTCTTTGATATATTCTATTATATTACATATTGATATATTCTTTGGAACCACTCTGATGGCAGGGTTCAGAACAGTTGACTCTGGTTCAACTTGTGGTGGAGCAAAAGCCCCAGGTGCCTTTGCATGGGGCTGCTCTCCAGTATCTCTTGCCAAAGAAGAGCCAAAGACACCACCAGGAAGAAGGAGGCCTTGCCACCACTTCCCCACAGGTTTCTGGAGCAATTCAGAGGGTGTTGGTGCAATGGGGACAGTGGGGAGTGGCCAAGAAGATGAGCCTGATGCCATCTTGGCCGCTGCATGCCAGGGGGCAGTTGGCAAAGAGGTGTCTTATGCTGTCTTTTCCAAAGACCTATGGCTCAGCTGGGCCCACAGAATGAAGCCTCAAAGCAGTCTGATGCTCTGGGGTCCATGGAGTGGAGAGCTGCACTAAAAGGAGTAGCCTTCCATGTGCAAAAGTCACAAGCTGCCCCCTCCTGTGGGGAGCACGGGCCATCACCATTGCTGTTCATTAGTATTGTAGTATTATAATACTATCACAACTGATTGTTCATTAGTATTTTTCCATCCTGGCCATGGTTCTGAGAAGGCAATTTTGGAATTTTCCACTATGACTGCTCTTCTGGTACCTCCCTGAATGTACACTTCTGGTACTCCTCAGAGCCTGGGCTACAGGGTCTGAGATGTGGATCAGGGAGTGCCTGTTCTCATTCAGCTGTCTTAACTGTTGCTTAATGGAGGACTGATGTGACAGGAGGTAATTCTGAACCATAGCTCAGCTGGGGAAAGCTACTCCAGCACCCTGTTCTCCAGTCACTCTATCTTTAAGAGGAAGCACTTGACTCGTGGTCAAACTCAGATTCCTTGCCACACTGTTCTTGGTCTCCAGTGTGATCCACCCTTTCCCCATGAGAGATTTCAAGGGGAACCTGTCACATGCTGCCCTGCCAGGGAGGAGGCTGAGGGTGCACATGGAGTTGGGAGAGGACCAGTGAGGACAGCTGACCTGAACTGACCAATGGGATATACTGTGCCGTAGGATGTCATGCTCAGTAATTAGAGCAGTGGGGAGAGAAGGAGGAGGGGGCATGTTCAGAGTAATGGTGTTTGTTTTCCTGAGAAGTCATTCCATGTGATGGATGCTGCTTTCTTGGAAATGGCTGAAAATCTGCCTGCCAATTGCAAGTACTGAATGAATTCCCTTGGTGTACTTTAGGTATCAATATCAGGAAGGAAATTCAAGAGGTTTCATAGAATCATAGAATCATAGAATATCCTGAGTTGGAAGGGACCCTTAAGGATCATCAAGTCCAACTCTGACACCGCACAGGTCTACCAAAAGTTCAGACCATGTGACTAAGTGCACAGTCCAATCTCTTCTTAAATTCAGACAGGCTCGGTGCAGTGACCACTTCCCTGGGGAGCCTGTTCCAGTGTGCAACCACCCTCTCTGTGAAGAACCACCCCTCCTGATGTCAAGCCTAAATTTCCCCTGCCTCAGCTTAACCTCGTTCCCGCGGGGTCCTGTCACTGGTGTTAATGGAGAAAAGGTCTCCTGCCTCTCGACACCCCCTTACGAGGAAGTTGTAGACTGCGATGAGGTCTCCCCTCAGCCTCCTCTTCTCCAGGCTGAACAGGCCCAGTGCCCTCAGCCGTTCCTCGTACGACTTCCCCTCCAGGCCTTTCACCATCTTCGTAGCCCTCCTCTGGACACTCTCCAACAGTTTTCATGTCCTTTTATACTGTGGTGCCCAGAAACTTGCACACAGTACTCGAGGTGAGGCCTCACCAGCACAGAGTAGAGGCGGGGACAATCACCTCCCTTGACCTACTAGCGATGCCATGCTTGATGCACCCCAGGACACGGTTGGCCCTCCTGGCTGCCAGGGCACACTGCTGGCTCATATTCAACTTGCTGTCTACCACCACCCCCACATCCCTCTCTTCTAGGCTGCTCTCCGGCGTCTACATCGCCCAGTCTGTACGTGCAGCCAGGGTTTCCCCGTCCCAGGTGCAGGACCCGGCACTTGCTCTTATTGAACTTCATGCGGTTGGTGATCGCCCAGCTCTCCAACCTATCCAGATCCCTCTGCAAGGCCTTTCCACCCTCAACAGAGTCCACAACTCCTCCAAGTTTGGTGTCATCAGCAAACTTGCTCAAAATACCTTCTATTCCTACATCCAGATCGTTTATAAAAATATTGAAAAGTACCAGCCCTAAAATGGAGCCTTGAGGGACCCCACTGGTGACCGCCCGCCAGCCTGACGCAGCCCCATTCACCATAACCCTTTGGGCCCTGCCCGTTAGCCAATTGCTCACCCATGTATGATGTTTTTATTTAGCTGTATGGTGGACATTTTGTCCAGTAGGATCCTATGGGAAACCGTGTCAAAAGCCTTGCTGAAGTCCAAAAAAATCAGCTGGTTTCCCTTGGTCCACCATACGGGTGATCTTATCATAAAAGGAAATCAGGTTAGTTAGGCAGGTTTAATTCCACATCATCGAGAAGAAAAAGAGAGGGGGAGAAATCAATAAAGCTCTATTGTCTGGTTTCACAAGTTCTCTGTTAGGAAAGGGAAACTCCTACAGCATATGGGATGTGAGATTTGTTAAGTGATCCCTTTGGGAAGCTCATTTTGTTTGTTTGTTTCTTTCTTTTTGCCTCCTCCTGGAGGCAATGTTAAGGCACATGCAGGACAAGGAGGTGAGCTGGAACAGCTAGCATGGTTTCAACATGGGTAAAGCATTCCTGACCAATCTGTTTGCCTTCTATGAAGGAATGACTGAATCACTAGACAAGGGAAGACTGACCAATATCATCTACTTGGACTTTTGTAAGGTCTTAGACATTGTCCCACATGACATCCTAATCTCTATTTCCCAATCAGTGGGAAATTCACTAGACCATCACAACTTTTAAAACATAATGGATAGGGGCTTTTCAACTTCGTCTGGTTAGAGCAACATTTGCTGATTAGGAATATGTACATGGCCTAACATGAATGTTTTCCCAGAGTGCTTTAGGAGCATCAGCCTTACCTGAAGCCCTCTCACCTCTTCCAAATCTTTCCTTTCTCTTAGCCAAGCCCTCTTCTCTGACCAAAAACTCCCGCCTTTATTCCCCCATCTTTCCTCTGACTTCCCCAAATGGGTCACCCTGTTGGGGGCAGCTTTCTGATGGCCTTTATGACCTCAGAGGCTCTGCCTCCCCGCTGTTGGCCAGACAGGTGCTGGGACAGAAGTGACCTCACAGCCAGCATCCACAGGGCTACAAGGAGCTGTTGCGCTCATGAGGCCAGCCCACCCAGGAGCAGTGGGTGCAGGTGATGCCCTGCACAATCCCTCAGGTTCTCACTTCAGTGCCTGGTAAAATTGTGGAGAAGATTGTTCTGGGAGCTATTGAAAAACACATAAAGGACAATGAAGTTTTGGTCAGAGCCAATATGGGTTCACTAGGGGAAGGTCATAACTAATAAACTTAATTTCCTTTTCCACAAGGTCACCAAGCTAATTGACTAAAGGAACCCAGTCAATGTAATCTTCCTGGATTTCAGTACAAATTTCAGTACTGTCTCTCACAGTAACCTTCAGGCCAAAATGACCAGAATACAGTTAGTGAAAAGCGTAATAAGATGGGCGAACAGTTGGCCAATGGGTCAGGCCCAGAAGACTCTTGTAAATGAGGTTATATCAGGCTGGTGGCCAGTCACTAGTGGGGTTCCAAAGGACTTCATTTTAGGACCAGTCGTCTTCATTTTTTTAATAAATGATTTGGATGAAGGACTTGAAGTTTTTTGAGCATGTTCAGGGATGACACCAAATTGGGTGGAGCTGTTGACTCTGTTGAGGGTGGTGAGGCCTTGCAGAAAGATCTGGACGATTTAGAGAGCTGTGCAATCACCAACCACATGAAGTTTAACAAGAGCAAGTGTTGGATTCTGCACCTGGAAAGGGGCAACTCTGGTTATACATACCAACTTGGGGACAAGATGCTGGAAAGCAGCTCCACAGAAAGGGATCTGGGGATATTGATCAACAGCAATCTGACCAAGAGCCAGCAGTGTCCCTTGGCTGCCAGGAGGGCCAACTGTATCCTTGGGTGCACCAAGAACAACATTGCCAGACAGTCAAGGGAAGTGGTTGTCTCACTCTACTCTGGCTAGAACCTAGAGCTGGGAAAGGTGGTTGTGAGGAACTGCTCTGGGACCAGTGCCTTGGGGCAGCATCTTCCAGGATGTCCCCTGTTCTGCTGGTCCTCTCTGTCTCTGCCCAGAGGCCAGCCCAGCCTATCCCCTCCCCAGCTCTCCAAATCTCCCTGTCCTCCTCCCAGCCCAGCAATCTCTATGGGTGCTGGAAACCAACAAGCAAGAGCAGAATCATCCATCACTACCTTAATGCTCATCCTGGGACTCTGATCTCACCCTCATGTGCCCACAGAGAAACAAAGTAAGGAGAATCGCTCAAGTCTATTCCTTAGTAATATCCGTGACTGCACCTTTGGGAGAAGAGCTGAGCCTTAAGGCACTGCCCTCAGCAGATCCCCTTTTATGCTGGAGAGGCTGGTGCAGAGCCAGTTGTGCTAGAGAAGTGCCCCTGGCCTGTCCCTGCCTGTAGACATTGGACTACCCCACAGCAGCACGGTGAGAGCAATCAGTCCTCACAGCAACACAAGGGTTTAGAAGGGAAGTGAAGAAGAACAGCTCAGGAAAGGCCAAGCTGTTTGGCTCCCAGGCATTGCTGCTGTGCCAGGACTCTTTTTCCCACCACTTCTGCACACAGCCAAGTGCCCCTGCAGCTCCACAGTGGTCTCAAAAGAAGGATCTCAGGAGAACAAGTCACTGTAGGGACGTTCCTTTTATTAAAAGATTCAGAAAGACTGGATCCTTCTTTACACCAAGTCTCTGAGTCACATGAAACAGGTAGACACTGAAATGGAAGGTGACGAACAATCATATTTCTTTGTTAATAACTTTATCACAAGGAATGTAAAGAAAAAAAAAAAAAAAGAAAAAATATATATAAATAAATAAATAGAGAAAAAATAACATCCGGGACAGAAATGTGTTATGTTATGAGTGATCTGCGGAAGATAGGTAGTATATAGCTTCTGAAAAACATCCAGTCATCACTTTCCATACTGCTTCCTTCAGCTCCTTGTTCCTCATGCTGTAGATGAGGGGGTTCACTGCTGGAGGCACCACCGAGTACAGAACTGCCAGCAGAAGATTAAGAGAGGAGGAGGACGTGAAAGGGGGCTTCAAGTAGGCAAAAAAGGCAGTGCTGATGAATAGGGAGACCACGGCCAGGTGAGGGAGGCATGTGGAAAAGGCTTTGTGCTGGCCCTGCTCTGAGGGGATCCTCAGCACAGCCCTGAAGATCTGCACATAGGACAGCACAAGGAAAACAAAACAACCAAATGCTATTAATACACTCAGCATAAGAAGCCCAACTTCTCTGAGGTAGGCATGTGAGCAGGAGAGCTTGAGGATCTGGGGAATCTCACAGAAGAACTGGTCCAGGGCATTGCCTTGGCAGAGGGGAAGTGTAAAGGTATTGGCAGTGTGCAGCACAGCATAGAGAAAAGTACTGACCCAGACAGCTGCTGCCATGTTGACACAAGTTCTGCTGGTCATTATTGTCCTGTAGTGTAGGGGTTTGCAGATGGCAACATAGCGGTCATAGGCCATGATAGTGAGTAGGTAAATTTCCGCTGTGAGAAAGAGAGCAAACGTAAAGACCTGGGTGGCACAACCTGTATAGGAAATGGTCCTGGTGTCCCAGAGGGAGTTGGCCATGGCTTTGGGAACAGTGGTGGTAATAGTGCCCAGGTCGATGAGGGCGAGGTTGAGGAGGAAGAAGTACATGGGGGTGTGGAGGCGGTGGTCGCAGGCTATGGCTGTGAGGATGAGGCCGTTGCCAAGGAGGGCAGCCAGGTAGATGCCCAGGAAGAGCCCGAAGAGCAGGAGCTGCAGCTGGCGTGTGTCTGCAAATGACAGGAGGAGGAACTCATTGGGGAAGCTGCTGTTGGACATTTGCTTCCTCAGAGCCTGGTTGCCTGTCCATGGAGGAATAGAGAGTGACATGTTAGAGAGACTTCTCTGAAGAAAAATTCCACCATGTACCACTGAAACCTCCTCAAAAAGACTCACTGCCTCTTTCCTGTGAGCTCTGTATTTTTTCTGTCCAAGCATGCCTTGATGATGAGGCATAATTATGTGTTTTCAGGAGGAATCCATACTGCTTTACAGTATCTAGTAAAGTGTACCAGAGACGGATCTCCAGTGCCCACTGGCCAGAGACATTTCCCTGTTTGCAGGTGCTGAACAGGACATCCAATAGTCTTTCTAGAAACAGTGAAGGTGGTGTTGGTGCTGCCCATAGGCTAAAGGGTATGGAGTGAAATTGTGGGTTTCCTCAAAGACCTACAGATCAGTGTAATGGTCTCTGCGCTTCAGTCTCTGATACAAACCTGACAACTCCATTATCATCCCTCTGGTTGCCCTTCAAAGTAGGAAAGCAAGACCAGAGAACCCAGAGAGTGCCTTCCCTTCAGATACTGCAGATGTTCATTTTCCCTGTCAAGAATGTCCCCCAGAGATGCCCCTAGGGGTGCTGTGGAACTGTGAGCAGCCTGCTCCAGCGAGCAGCCTCTGGGCACCAGCAGGACCCTGCTCTGCCATGCTTGGGGGGCTACTTAAAGTGACAGGTTCTCCTCGCAGTGTCCTGGACAGTTCCCTGGGAAGGCTGAGTGCTGAGCATGGCAGGTGGCAGAGGCCCTGCACCAGCACACAGCCCCTGGGGCACAGCAGGGATCCTGCTCTGCACCACAGCCCTGGCCACCCCTGCCTGCACCCCGGCTGCGCAGCCTGTAGCCGGCCCCAAAAGAAAAACCATCATCTGCTGACCTTCTGACAGCTTTGAAAAGTAATCCCTGCTCTGGAGCTTCTCATTCTTTTCCTATTCAAAGAAACTCTGAGAGTCCTCCTGACAGCTCCCATAGGCTGTGGGAATTGACAGCAAATCTGGAGGTGGCACCAGGAACAACAGCTGCATTGCCCTGCAGCCACAGACTTACCCTGTTCAGGGCTCTGAAGATTTCTTTCGCAGTGAGCTCTCAGCATCCCCCCTCCACACTGCCTTTAACATCTCCCTCCCTTCTCTCAGCTGCCTTTGTCCCCTGCAGGCAGTGCCCCGAGCCCTGCTGCTGTGCTGTGCAGAGGAGCTGCTCCTGGGCAGAGCTGTCTCTCTGCAGTGCTGCCCGCTTGCCAGGAGCTCCCCTTGGGCCCAGGAGCTCGGCCCAGCTCATCAGCACAGGGAGCTCTTGACAAGTCCCTGGCCCTCCAGGGGAATCAACTTTGAAACAGACTGAAGCAATCCCTGTTGCTCCTTCCCTCTACAAGTTAAAGAAACTCTTTTCCAGCACTGTCATTCCTCATACAGGAAAAGTATGTGGCCCAGGAATCACCTTTCTGTGCCCTGGTTTTAGGCAGGACAGCCATCCAAGGACAGAGAGGGATCTCCATCTCCCCTCCTGAGGGAAGAGTTTCAGCTGAGTCAAGCAAGGCATCTCATTCTTTGCAGTCCAGAAGCTAGGAGGGGGCTCAGCTGTTTCCCATGCCTCAA